TAAATTACTGCTGATTTTGTAATTTTCTCTTGTTTACTTCACTCCTTCAAATTTTTTGTTATTGTAATTTTGTATATGTTTGGTTAACAAATACTGTTGGAAGATAATGATAATAAAATGTGATATCAGTGTGGATGTAGATAAAATTCATCACTCACCTTTATTTCGCTGAATATCGGTGTAGGTCAACAGGTCAGACGTAGGTGCTTGCGTACTATCCCGCTCAGTAAGTACTGCAGTGTTAAGCAGTGAGGCACTTTATCCGCAAATGCTGAGCAAGTTTTTTTTACAGCCGTCTTCAGTCGTAAAGACTGAATGGCAATTTTGAGAAACTTTTTGGCATTTTATTGATGAGTAGATCTCTAATTAGCTTGGCTAAATTGCTTACGGTAGCTTACGAAACTGTTACTATTTTACCTGCTTTCAATTTTTTTACAAGTAATACATTATTTTATAATCTTTTAGGCGTTTTTTTTTTTTTATTTTAAAGTGGTTAATAGCGGTAAATTTGTTTTGGCGTTATGATTTATCTAAAATGAGTGTATGGTCCAATTTTGGAGGATGTTTAGGGTGAGAATGGCAAAAATCGTTTCGGGACTACCAGTACGCTTAATATCATCAGTAATGAAAAAGTCATCGTCGAATCTAAAAAGTGGTAGAAGTAATCGCACCAAAATATCAACAAATATTGTGTTGCTTTTTTGCTTATTGGCGCGGTTATCTTACGCTGATTCAGCGTCACTTAAAGTTGATTGTCGAAAATATGGTACTTTTTTGCTTTTTAAAAACTGTCTGTCACTTTTGAAAAGAAAAAGCTCAAATTTATTTCCTGATTAATTAAACAATATTACGTAAAAAAAACGTCTTGTTTTTTTTTTTTTGATACGTATCAGTCTACAGACTGATTGATACTCAAGCTTCAATTGTTTAAATAACAGACATAAGATATCACTTTTTAGGCAACAGACATGTAATCGCGGAAGATGGTTGCCAGCCAGTAATGGTTCAATTGAATGTCTGTTCTGGTTTTTGTAGGACATTTTCCTTCTACGATATAGACTCGGAAAAAGTCACCGTAATTGGAAAGTGTTGTCGAATGGTGGAAAACATATGGGTTTGTCTTTTCAGTGACCGTCGCTTTCAAAAAACTAAGCTGAAGCGAAACAAAATTACCAACATATCACAATTTTACTGCACAAACACATTCGTTTTAAGCCATTATTTAAAGTTTTTTATTTAGTTAGAAGGACATACCAAATGAAAAAATGATTTTCAAGGAAAAGCTTGAAAGTAGTAACTGAAAAAAAAACAATTTAAAATTTATTTTTTAATTTTAGGTTAACGTTACACTGAATTGTTCAGATGGTCATCGAGTCGTCAGACTACCAAGTGCAACTGAATGTCGTTGTTTTGACTGTGCAGCTGATCGTTGAGGGAGCATTTGAAATCCCCGAACTAATTATAACCAAAAACTTCTTCTGAAAAGTCAAATTCTATAAACAAAAAAATGATTCCTTTGAATGCCCATTGTCAGCAATGAACTGTACCACAAAAAAATTTTTTCAAAATGTACTAAGCACGGTGGACTTCAGCGGATCAATTACCTACTGACGATCTGTAATTCGGTTTCCCGAGCTTTACGTTCTTGCCAGACTGCTCTTTATTGAAAAACCTTTCCCGACATCAACGCTGTCCTACTTACGACTGTTAATTGTTTTAAAAATATGCGATTTATGCTTCCTGCATATTGCTGTCGTTTTGTGCTTTTTTTTCTCGCCTACTGTGAAACACTGATGTGCAAGCAACCGAGGTGCTGTCGCTTTAACCTAGGCTTCCCTTTATTTTTTCTATAGAGATTTAATACTGATGTATTCTCTAACATCTATTTTTTTTTGTTACCTGGGGGAACATATTCGAAATATGATGTCTAAATTAAACTGTCTGGTTTAAGCGCGGAAAAAATTGGATACCAATTTTTGCTTCGCTCAATGATTCTTACATCAAAAATCTGTGATCACCCTGTTGTTACCAAAGTTTTTTTTTATTTTTTTTTTGCTTTTATTTTTTCTTTTATGAAGCATAGTTAAACATTGTCGCTATGGGTTATCTGTTTTTACGAGGTGGTTATTTTACTTATTTATTTTTTCTTGTTAATATCCCAGTGCGAAAATGTACCTTAGTTATTAAGGCAATGATCTTGGATTCTGTTATATTTGAAACACGCTTTTTTTTTCTCTGAAAATAACTGCGTTGTACATATCTGAGGAATGAAGGAGAAAAATTCTCAAACATTTTTTTCCTTTTCACATCTTTGTAATAAACGAAAGGAATCTCAGTCAGTTGAAAAAAAAAAAAGGGAAAGGAAGAAAGTTAGTTTTATAAAACCGGTAACCGCTGCTATGCAAGTGCGCAAAGACTGTTGTTTGGACGATTACCGCAGAGTAGGTAATGATCTTTTGCTTAATCAATTTTTCAAGTTTAACGGAAGTTTTCTTTAGTCATTGTTGTAATATTAATATTTTTCGTGACAAAAATTTGATTTATTTTTGCTTCTTCTTTTATTTTCAATTTTTTCGTTGTCTTTAGAAAAAACTTACGGTTACGAATTAATTTGCAGCAGTCAGTTGCCTACAACTGCATCAAACTTTATTTGTCCATCCTAAACAACGAAACTGCTCAGAGGTACCTACAAGCAACTGGGATTGATCTATGACCAAATGTACCGCCAACGTTAAACTGTTCTCTTTGTTTCCTTGATAAAATTGCAAACTTATTTGGAGCAATTTTTCTTCTGTTAACACCTTTTATTCACATTTATTACAAGTTGATATATTTGGCAAAAGTTGTATTTTGTGGTATCGAACTAGTGACGTTTACAGATCAAATAATTACTTGTAATTTGAAACACTAAAAAAGATATACTGATAATTTGGCGTAGATGAAGTGAAAACTTTGCAGAGTGCAAGTGAAAAAAGAAGATATCTTTTGAATATATCGCTAATTACGCAGAAAAACTTTATTTTTCAAAGTTCCTGTTTCAAGTTTTTGGCTTTCTTTGGTAATTACTAAAATATAAGGTTTCTTTTTTTGTTAATGACAAAAAGTTTTGCTGTAAGAGTGGTTTACACTTTTTTTTGATTATGTAGACGAAACTCTGTCATTAAAGTATTTGACGTCTAAGAATCCGTTTTAATTTAAGCATTTTGAGTGAAGGACCTTAAAAGTTATATAATAAGAACGATTAATTAGAATATAAAAATTACAGAGGACTTTGTTCTTTCTGTAGCACTTTAATTAACCTTTTTGCTTGTAAAATAAAACTTTTTGAGAAAAAGAGTTTTGTGAGTTTGTAGAAGAAACTGGGGATTTTTATTATATTAAGAATTTGACCAATGTAATGATACAGTGTCTATTTAAAACTAAAAAAATTTCTCTAACGATCTTCAGTCTCGTTTTTCTGGCAGGTCTCAACGTTTTGTAGCAATATTCTGCAGCAGAAAGTTATTTTAAAACTAGTAAAAAACATTGTTTTCGAACGGAAATGGATTACGAAACCCGAGGAAGATGCTTCAATTACCGTACTGCTTCAACCAAAAAAACAAAATTATGCATTATTTGTAGTAACGATCTGTTTGAAAATAGTCATAACGACTATTTCGGTGAAATTCAGTTGTACCGTCAAACGTTTTTCCTAGGCATTTTCAAAACTTGTTCTTGAACTTCAGAGAACAATGTTTTCAAATAGTCATTTACAGTATATTTAAGAAAAGCGATATTGAAGATGGGAAAAAATTCAATACGTTAAATCCCGTACTAAAGCCTAGTTTCCCCACAGTAGATCACTCGAACAGGTATTGTAAACCATGTGAAACAGAAAGGAGAAAGGAGGGAGCAGAAGATTGGAAATTACAGACCCTTGAATTGTTCCAACTTACGACATCTAGAGAACCGAAGTTCTGGAATTGTTTTTACACGCTGCAACAGTAGGACGCCAGTAATGTCGCGGACTCGTGATCTTAAAAGGGTGCTTTTGCAACAGCAACTTTTCACGAGTTTAGCTTCTTTAGGACTTCACCGTGTGTCGTGATTACCGACGGTCTAGTTAACTGGGAAGTTGAACACAACTCCTCTACCGTGTCCCTATGGGGAACCGAACTTCTACTGAACTTCAAACCGCAAGTAATCGTAGTCGCCAATACTTGCAGCTCTATATGATTAGTAACGTTTGATGATATTGATCGCTTGTGATGGCCGTTTGATTTGATAATCCTTTATTTGAGAGATGATATACAACATAAATGAAAGACCGCTGGTACAATAGACCAGAACTGATCCCTAACCAACTTAGAAAAAGAATTATCACAATAAATGGAACGATAATAATAG